AAGCGCATGCGGTCAGGCCAGCTTGTCAGACACAGCGCCGCCGCAGCACCCTGGCGCGGCGCCGCTTGATGAGTTCGATGCTAGGTTGCCGCCACAGTGCCCCGCGCCACCGACGCCGCCATCCATGCCAGCGCAGGCGCGAGCGGACATGCCGTCAGCCTGTCCATCTACACCGCCGGCGCAGCCTGCGGCCCCTGCCGCTACCGATGCTGCACATGCATCCCCTGAGCCTCGCGCGTTGCTGCCGACGCCAGTGCGGTCGCCACGCGCGTCGCCGCTGTTCATGGGTGCGATGCTGGGTCGGGCGCGGATGTCGGCGAGGTCACATGCTACGGGAGCCAGGATATTGGGCGATGCTGCTGACGAGTCTGGTGAACCTCGCACGCCTCCTGGACTGATGCTATCGCCGCCTGGCCGGCGATCGCCATCGCTGCAGTCGCCTCCCGCGCGCGCTGCAGCGCCAGGCCCGCACTGCGGTCGCAGCGGTGTCAGCGATATCGTCACTGACAGGGCCCTGCCAGATACCTCGTCCTCCGCGGCTGCGAAGTCAGACGGCCGGGGCGTACAGCCATCGCCTCGCCACGCGAACTCGCCGACCGATCTTGCCCGTCGCCTGAAGCCTCGAGGTCATGGGTGCCCAGTGACTCGCTCCCTCCAGGACGTCTTCAGCTGGGCCGACGATTCCTTTTCGGCGCTGCAGCGTTGCATGGGCGAGGCAGTGCTGCGCGAGCTGAAGCAGGCCTACGAGAGCACAACATACAGCACTGCCTTCTCAGGAGTGGATGCACCCGGCGTGGCCGCCGCCATGATCGGGTGCGCACTCTCGCATCGGCTCGGAGAGCAAGTGGAGCCAATGGTGCACCTGGCCTCGTGTGAGAACTCCCACCAGTCCAACGAAGAGCTCAAAGTGCACCCGCATGCGCCGAAGCACATGTTCAACGACATCGAGGAGTTCTGGGTTGACAACGTGAGCATCGAGTTGGACCGCCTGGCCAACATCGGCGCAGCTATCACGCTGTCCTCCATGCACAAGCTCGTCCTGACTGGCCGCTCTGTCAAGCGGCATGCGCTCTGCAGGCTGCTCAAGCAGCGATGCGCCCACCCCGTCGCTCGCATGCACTTCGCTGGGACGCCATGCGTCGACTGGTCGCCCATCGGCACGCTGCTGAAGGACGCTGGCAGGACCAGCCGCGCGCTGGCCGCATGGCTGGCGATGCGGCTCCTCCTCCAGGAGCCCATTGTGATCCACGAGAACGCGGAGCGCTTCGACGTGGAGGTGCTGCGGGAATTCCTCGGTCACGTCTACTTCGTCGAATCCAACATCATCACCCCGAACCAGCTGGGGTGGCCGTGCCGTCGCAGTCGGCGATGGACTGTGCTCGTGCACCGCGTCCACGTCATGCAGGTGTCGATGGGCCAAGCACGGCTAGTGGGAGGAGGAGGAGGAGCAGGAGGAGGAGGAGGAGGATGAAGAGGAGGAGGAGGAGGAGGAGGAGGAGGAGGAGGAGGAGGGGGAAGAGGAGGGAGAGGAAGAGGATGAAGAGGAAGAGGATGAATGATGAGGAGAGGTGGAGGCATGTGACGGGGTCGACGACGGACGGTGATGAAGACAGACGTGGGCAAGCAACAGTGAGTCACCGAGCCCCCCCCCCCCGGCCACGGGCACCCCACCCCCCAACATCCTGGGTCAAGCTGTTGCCAGGGTCGCGGGTGTCTTTCCGCAAGGAGGAGGAGGGGGGGGAGGAGGGGGAGGAGGAGGAGAGAGATGAGAGAGGCGGAGGAGGGAGGAGGTGGATGATGAGAGGCATGACTGAGTGGTCAAATACCATGCCCGTCCAAGGTGGTCAGCACCGTCGCGAACACTGTGCCAGGGCAGTCGCGCAAGGCGTCTTAATCTCCATGATGGCGAGCTCATAGCAGCGCAAGGGCGTGGGGGGTGGCGTCGCGGTTGGCCTTTGCAGCCCTGCAGCCGCCGCCGCCATTGTGGCTGCGCTCTCTGCGCCCCTGCTCTGCGATGACTCGTCATCGTTCAAAGACCAGACGCCGCGCGTGCATCATAGGTGCCGCTCTTCCATCGCGTGCTGCGGTGCAGGATGGATATCTTCATGACAGCAGACGAGGGCGAGCTGTTGAGCGAAGTCGCATGGGCTCGTAGCCGCAAGGGGAGCGCGAGCTACGGCCAAGCGGCAACGCTCGATCACATCAAGACTGACCCCCTCGCATTCGAGAAGAGCCTCAACACTTTCGAGCAGGGCACCCTGCGACAGTACCGCAGGACGCAACCACGCAACTGCGTTCACAACCTCACGCAGAACCCTGGGGATGGCTTCGGCGGGCAATCTTCGACGCCAAACCTGCTGCACACTCTCATCAGCAACCCGTCCAGCATCAACTTCTATGATTCGCCTGAATTCAATAGGTGGTTCACTCCAACGGAGATGTTTTTGGCCCAGGGGTTCCCGACGCAGCCCAGGCTTTCGAACCCATGCGCGTTTGACCCCACCGCTGGGCACGATGACCAGGCCGCCGCCATGGACCACCCGTGTTGCTCTTTCGTCAAACCTCGGGTCGGACCAGGGAATGCGCGGCGCCGCGCTTCCTTGATCGAGCAGGCGGGGAACGCAATGAACGTGCACGTCGCTGGCGTGCACTGGCTCTGGGCGCTCTCGCGCGCGCAGCGAGCCGACCAGGATAGAGTTCCTGGCATTCCTGGCCGTCCTCGCGCTGCATAGGTGGCTAGGGGGAGGAGGAGAAGGAGGATGACAGATGATGAGGGGGGGCCGAGGCTGAGGAGCTGAGGAGGAGCAGAGAGGGGGGCATATAGACAATAATGAGGATGAGGAAGAAGAGGTGTTCACGCATGGAGTGCGACCAACCGATAGCAACAGCGCAGCCGCGCAGCAGCATGTCGCTCGACGCGACGTTGGGGGATGGCCCGCGCGAGCAGTCGGGCATGCAAGTTTGCGAGGTGTTTGAGAATTTGATCTTACCAGTCTTGCCCTAGGTAGTAAGCAATCCCAGCCCAGAATGTGAGCGCGGCACGCGTGCGCGTTCGATCCGTGCTGTCGCTGGGGCTGGAGCCTTGCGGCCGAAGACCTAGGGGCCTGGGGCCTAGGGCCTAGAGGCACAACATGGGGGCATGATGGGGCGCAGGGAATGAGGGTGAGGGAATGCACACGTGCGCGAGTCATCATGATATCTAATTCGAAGGGTGATATTCTGCGGCGGGGCGGCCTTCAGATCCGTCTCGCTCCACTCGACGCGCCTGGCGGTGGTTCCTTGCGCGCCGGGGCAGCATGGGGCCGACGTCCCAGCATCTGCATCTCACGCTCTCATCCTCTTACATGCATGTTCGTCGTCACCGCTGCAATCAACCGCCACCTCCGCTCTTGCCTTCGCCCTCCTCATCTCTTCCCGCTCTCATCCCAGCTGCGACTTAACCTATCCTAGCTTGCCATCGTCGTCTGCCGCAATCCTCGCTGGGGAGGGAGGGCGGGGGGGGATGTGATGGAAGATGGTTGAAGTTGACGGGCATGAGGATGATGAGGGGTATGAGGAGGAGTAGGAGGCGACCCCTACTGCCCTTGCTACTACTACTGCTACAGTAGTTACTACTACTACTACGACTACTACTACTACTACTACTACTACTACGACTACTACTACTACTACTACTACTACTACTACTACTACTACTACCCTCCATTCCATATGCAATTCCACACTTCCCTGCGGCCCCCCCCCTCCCGCCTCCAGCACCTCGTCGCTCGCCATTTGTCATTCTCGTCAGCATCGCCACCTCTACTTTGTGTCACTCTCGTCCTCGTCCTCCTCGTCCTCCTACCCCGCCGCGCTTGCACGCAGAGGCAGCGCGGCGGCGGTCGCGGCCGCGGCGGATCGCCTGGGGCCAGCCGCAGCAGCTGCGCCTGGAGCAGGCCGCTGCACCGCGGCGCCGCGCCGCCGTGCACCGCCGCAAGCCCTGGGGGGATGAGCGGGGGGGGGCGGAGACAAGCCAGGGAAGGGATGGCGAGGTAACCGATAGGCCAAGTCGGACTGCGGGGCAAGGGTGGGGGCGGCCAGCCAGGAGGGGTTGTGCGCGGATGCAGGACTTGAAATCCCTGCGACCAGACGAAGCAATGCCATGGGCCCGCCCAGGTCCTTCTGGGGCCACTCTTGGGGGGTGGGCGGCGCAATGTCTGCGGCCCCTTGGTTCCAGGTGGCCTGGTTGCTCTCGAGCTGCCCCCCTCCCCGCAATGGCATCCTGCCTGCCTAATCACCCCTCCCAATGATGACTCGTCGCCTTGCCACTCCTGCCGCCCCGTCTAGTTCACCGACCTCCTCTCCTGCCCCCCTCCTCTCTCTTCCTCTCCCTCTCTCTGTCTCCCCCCCCTCCCCCCTCCCTCCTACTCCCTCCTACCTTCTCTCGAATTCCTCTCTCTCTCTCTCTCTCTCTCGCTCGCTGTCTCTCTTTCTGTCTCCCTCTCTCTGCGTTCCTATATTGATCTCTCTATCTCGCTCTTTCTTCTTCTTTTTTTTTGTTCTCTCTCTCTCTCTCTCTCTCTCTCTCTCTCTCTCTCTCTCTATCTTCTCTCTCTCTCTCTCTCTCTCTCTCTCTCTCTTTTCCTCTCTCTCTCTCTCGCTCCCTTTCTCCACCCCCCCCCGTCTCTCGCGTTCTCTCCCCCTCTATCTCCTTTTGCTCAATCTCTCTTTTGAGCCGCGGGAGCGGAATCTCGAGGCCCTGGGGCCCTGGGGCCCTGCCCCCCCCCCCCAGGCACCCAGGATGTCAGCGCCAAGTTTCGCGACAAGATAACCCGGGGCCCCGGGGCGCCGGGGACCCATGCCGCACAGCTTTGTAGGATTCCATGGCCGATCCCATCCCATCCCCTCCTCCCCCCTGTTACGCCCTCGCCCCGCCGAAGCCATTTTTGGCTTTCTTGGCCGAGAGCCAAAGCCAGCGAGCAGCGCCGAGACACTCCCTGCGCCTGTGCCGCGCGCTCACCATGCCTCCGGCCACTCCCAAGCCAGAGCCCTCCGCGAACGCCACGGGGGGCGAGATGTGGATAGAAAAGGCCTCGGTGGACGTTCGATATCCTGGGCTGCAGGGGATTCTGCTCCAAGAAGCCGTCTTCGACGACTACTCGGTGCGGCGCAACGTCACATTGCAGTTCTTTGATGACGACGGCGCGCAGACCATCGTGCCTCACCCCGAGAACGTTCGCAAACAGGAGGCCATCGTGAATCACTACGCAAGGCTTGTGCGTGACTACGGGGTCATCCCGGGCGTGCGCGGCGAGCCGCGGGGCATCCAGTCGGACACTGCCAGCGGCATGCCGGCCCTCATGGTGACCTACGGGACGCTGAGCCGCGCGGTCTACAAGGCCGCCAAGAAGTGGCCCGAGAATAAGATGGCGCAGGTTAGCCTCACGAGAGGCTTGAGGAACGCTACCCTGTTCGACTCCCGCGCGCCTAAGGACGTCATCAGGTGGCTCAGGGACTGGCACAGCGAATTTCATAACGGCAGCCGTTTTACATTGCTACAATATTGGGAGCATCTGAGCGACATGAGCGCCGAGTACCAGGCGCGCGGCAAGACGGGCGGCGCAGTCATGAGTTTCTGGGATTGGCACTGCGCCAGGTTCAAGAAGGAAGCCGAGCGCAGGTTCAAGAGCGAAAACGAGTGCAAGGCTGGGGGGGGGGGACATCGACGCAGTCCAGGTCAGCTCTCTCGGCGTCTCCCCGACTCCCCCCCTCCCCCTCCTTCGAGTTTCCCAGGGGGCGATGGGGAAGGGGAGGGGGGGTGGGGGGGAGGGCCAAGAGAACCGACCTTTAGTGAAGTAGTGGTGTCCTCCCCCCAGAGGCTGGGTTGGCGCTCCTCAGGAAGTTAGAGCGCTTCGAGATTCATGACATGACGATGTCACTTATTGGAGAGAAGTGTGTTTTCATCGACCCCCGCATGAATAACACGAACGCAAGTTTCAACATTCACATGCTGTCCGTTCAGGTGTTCCACGACGAGGTGAAGTCCGTGATCGATGGCCCCATCCTGAAGCACGTCTTCATGAAAGCGCTCTACTTCTTCTTGCCCTTTGTATCTGCAGCTGACGAAGCTGACGACGACGACAACGCTACGCCGTCCCGCCAGCGAGTGATCCCGTTCCTGTTCGAGAAGCAGAATCTGGATGTGGTCAGGATGCTGATGACAAAGATGGACACTTCCGTGACGAAGAGAAAGGGATTGAAGAAGTGGGAGCAGATCATCGCCAAGAGGGAGCAGGATCAGGACAGCGCAGGGACTACCGCCACGCCTGCCGAGCCAGCAAAGAAGAAGACTCGGGGATCCAACAAGAAGGTCGTCGCCATCCAGACCCCCGCTGAGGATTGGTCCGACCAGAGCAAGCACATCTACTGAATCACAGACTGTCTGACGGGGCTGAAGACGGCAGTATTTCTGGCCAAGGGTGCCGACGACATCAGCGATTCTGAGAAGATCGATATCGTCGGAAGTTTTGCGTTGTTGGCATTTGAATTCTGCTGGCAAGGTCATTTGGCGCTCGGTCAGCACAGCTTCACCAAGTGGCCGGACTTGCGCGCAAAGCTCAGGACGCTTGCGACGCAGACGACTGAGACGATGGCCGCATCCCTGACGTCAATCGACGGGGCCAAATCCGTTGCCGACCTCCTAGTCGACTGTTTGATCGGCGGCGATGAGGACATCGACGACATCGACGGTCTTGCTGTCGCGCTCCAGCCCGGAACATCGAACGACCAGCTACTGGCCCATATCAACCGCTTGTGGGCTAGCCAGGGTGATCTCGTGAGGGAGTTCGTGAAAGGGACCTCGCTGAAGCTGCCAGCTCGCATGCATCGCGGTTACAAGGCTGTCGTCGACCAGATGGTGGAGGAGGCGGGGCAGATCCCATTGCCAGAGGATATGGCAGAGACCATTTCGGGTGACCAGTTCGAACTCAATCGCTTGATTGACCGAGTCGTGGACGTCGTCCTCAAGCACCTTACCAAGGTCTTTTCCGACGAGTTCGGCACGCTGGCCTTACTTATATCGCAGTACATGCGGAAGACTTCGCAGGTGCCCAGCTGCTGCCAGGGCGGCCTCCCCACGAGCATGGATGCGACAAACTTCTGCGGCATGAGGGCGCAGTGCATCAAGCAGGGGTTCGCCGACGTCTTTTGCGTCGTCCCGAACGCGGAGCTGAACGAATGCATCGCCAGCGTGACTGCTGCGCTGGGCGAGTACAAGTGCGCCAACGTGCCATCGCATGGGCTGCTGGGCAGGCTGCTTTCGCAGAGCGTCGCCGACCTCTGCAACGCCATCAGGACCAAGAAGAGCATCACTGCATCACAGGGTGCGAAGGCCAGCCTCGTCGATGCCGCGGCCAAGCTCGGCGTCGACCTCGATCCCAAGATTGAGCCTGCAAAGCAGACCGAGAATCCAGGGGCCCAGAGCAGCGGCAGCTCGTCGTCGCAACACCTCGTCGTTCACGGAGGAGCCGCAACCATCAACCCCGACCCGCTCGTCGCGATGGTCGAGTCCGCTCGCATGCCGCTGTCCAATCTCTTCAGGACACGTGCGTTTGTCATGTCCCACCTCCTTTCCTTGACCTCTTCCCCCTGACCCTGAGCTCCGTTCCAGGTCCAGCTGTCAACCAATGCTCATCATTCCCTCCCCCCTCACCCCCTCCCCCTGTTCGGGGGAGGGGGTGGGGGGGGGGCATGGGCCCCGCGGGGCCCGCGGGGGGGAGATTGGGAAATGGGTATGGGAGATGGGGGCCAGATCTGCCAGATGGGGTCTGATGAGGTCTGGGGTCAGGGGTCAGGGGTCAGGGGTCAGGGATGGGGGCTCAGTGATGTGACAAACGTGCCCGCTAGTTTCGTGGACGAATCGGGCATGCTTCTCGCGGCGGGGTCCGACGTGCTGAACCAGCTGACAACTGCGAACATGAACAAATATGATGCTGACGCCGCAGCCGCCACCATCACGTTCCCTCGTGGTAGGATGCCGTGCTGCCGATGGTTGAAGCTATTCCTCCTGTTCCTGGAGCGCCAGCTGCACGGGATAGCGCGCGCCGAGGAGTCAGAGCATTTCGCCAACATCGAGGTTGACTGGACGGCGGAGCGCGCCGCTGCTGCGGCGGCGGGGTCCGACAAGAAGAAGGGCGACGCCAACGAGCCCGTGCTGCGCGTCAAGAAGTGGTCGCCGGAGCTGAGACTCACGTTCGCTGGCCCGCTCAGCTTCGAGCGTGGATCGAGGTCGCCCCCAGCGTGCCACCTCAAGTTCCCAGCGGAGGACGAGAAGGACGACATCGCAGTCGCGGTGTGGATTAACAGCGACAAGGTGTCCAGCGTGACCAGCGAGCTCGCGGCCCCTGCGTGGATGTTGCGGCTCCTCGACAAGAAGGCCACGGAGCTCACGGTGAACGTGAAAGGCCAGAAGGTCTTGCGCGAGATGACGCTCCCGCCGGACTTGACTGTCGAGGGGGTGTCGGACGCGTTCAAGATGCAGGTGCTCTTGTGCAGAACTCATCTCATCATCGCATCATGACATCACCACTCATCACCACTCCCTCCTCATCCTCCTCTCATCCTCTCCTCCTCCCCCCCCCTCCCCCCTCCTCCGCCTCGCCCTCCCTCTCCTCGATCCCCCCTCCATCCCTCCATCCCCCTCCCCCTCGTAACTGCGCTTTCCCCTGCCCCTCGTTGTCCTTGCCTCCTTACCTTTTTTTTTCTCTCTCTCTCTCTCTCTCTCTCTCTCTCTCTCTCTCTCTCTCTCTCTCTCTTCTTCTCTCCTCTCTCTCTCTCTCTCTCTCTCTCTCTCTCTCTCTCTCTCTCTCTCTCTCTCCTCTCTCTCTCTCTCTCTCTCTCTCTCGTTTTGTTTTTTTTTTTCTTTTTTTTTTTTTTTTTTTTTTTTTTTTTTTTTTTTTTTTTTTTTTTTTTTTTTTTTTTTTTTTTTTTTTTTTTTTTTTTTTTTTTTTTTTTTCTCTCTCTCTCTCTCTCTCTCTCTCTCTCTCTCTCTCTCTCTCTCTCTCTCTCTCTCTCTCTCGGATCCCCCCACCGTCCCGCTCTCTCGCTCTTTCCCTCGCCATCTGTGGCATCTTCGCCCTCATCTGCTTCTTTCTAACCCCTCCCCTCTCGCATTCCGAAGCAGCTGTCTTCGGCCCCGGCCATTGGCTCGAAGACTGCGACGCCCTCCTCGGCCCTCCAGGGGGCCCTCCAGGCCCTCCAGGGCCTCCAGGGGTCAAATGCATAGCGCCACTTTGCCCGATGCTGCGCCCTGGTCGGCGCGGTCCCCGTCGTACTCCCCCTCCCCATCCTTCTCTTCGTCCTCTTCCTCCTCCCCCTCCTCCTCCTCGTCCTCCTCCTCCTGTTCACCTTTTTATGTCCCTCCCCCCCCCCCCCCCCCCCTTCCCACTCTTCGTCGTCTACGCCGCGACGCCGTCTCCCCCCCCGCGCATTTTCCTTAGCTCGCGGAGGAGGGGGCGGCGGGGGCAGGAGAGTGAGGAGTGGGGCGGAGTTGTTTTGCATTACATGCTCGCTCGAGGTGCACGCCGTCGCCCCCTTGAACGTTTCAGCCGCCCAGGGCGCCGATGTCGCCATGGCTGACCGCGAGGAGTACCGCAAGCTCCAGTGCGACGGCGCGGCGCTCGTTCGCGATGACATCGCGGGCGAGGTTCAGCCCAGGGTGAAGCGCGCTCGCGGCTCCAACGCGCCCCCCTGCGAGCTGGGTTCCTCGCTGGGCCCCAGTGCCGCTGCGGAGTGCATGATGAAATGCGCGGGCAGCGTGCCCGCGGCTGAGGGGGCGCAGGAGGCGGCCCCCGCGGCCGCGTCGAAGGAAGACAAGGTCTTAAAGGCGAAGACCAAGCATCTTTTGGAGTAGGCGCTGCGGCGCCGCTGGCATGCCGTTTAGTTTTGCGTTGTCCAGGCCGCGCGCGCGCCATCGAGCGATGGGCCGTCGCTGGGTGCCAGGTGTGCCGCGCGCGTCCTAGGCGCAGAGATGGTGTATATAGTAGGGGGCGCGGCGCTGGCCCCTCCTCCCCCTCCTCCCTCTTCTCGCATCTTTCCCCCTCTCGCACTCGAGGGCGCGCGCAGGGGGGGGGGGGGGGGGGCGACAGCGATGGGGAGGACAGGGAGGTAGAATAGGAGGAGGGGGAGGAGGAGGGAGGAGGAAGAGGAGGAGGCGAAAGGGGGGGGCGGAGGAGGAGGAGGAGTGAGGAGAGGAGGAGGAGGAGGAGGAGGAGGAGGAGGAGGAGGAGGAGGAGGAGGAGGAGGAGGAGGAGGAGGAGGAGGAGGAGGAGGGGGGAGCGGAGAGAGGAGTATCCGACTTCTCCGACTTCCGCTTCTGTTTAGGCCGCGCCAGCCCGTCTCGCGCCGGGGCGATGCGCCGCGTTGCCGCCGCCTGTTTTCAGACCCTCGGCACAGCGCTTGTGGCGACGACGATGGCAGCGCACGCAGCGCAAGCCATGGGAGCCACAGCCCAACGAAACGCCACAACACTGCAAGGGGGACAGGCTGGGTCAAGGCCAGGGAGGATCAGGACGAAGAGGATGAGGAGGACGACTCGCGACGAACGCAGAGGACGAGCCCACTCGCGCTGTGCCCGTGAATGAACTCAGCGCCCGCTGGGGCACCATGCCCGCTGCCTCCGCTCGCGAGGCCGCAGAGGCGCAGGCCCGCTGCCGCCGCCCGCAAGGCCGCGAGGGCTTCGACATGCTCGGGGCAGGCAGACTGCCCCGCACTGGACGCGAGAAAAATGCACCGCTGACTCGACGCTGGCCTTGGGGTGAGAAGCAACTGGGAGGAATCGAGAGAGGCGATGAGCATGGATGATTGATGCGAGGAGAAGGAGGCGAAGCAGGAAATGGAGAAGCAGAAGGAGAATGAGGAGGAAGGGGGGAGGGCGGAAGAGGGGAGGGGCCAGGAGGGGAGGGGGAGGAGGAGGAGGGGGAGGAGGAGGAGGAGGAGGAGGAGGAGGAGGAGAAAGGAGGAGGAGGAGGGAGGAGGAGGAGGAAGAGTCCTGAGGAGGAGGCAGTCCGTGTCATGGGGCCACCTCCTCACTCCTCACTCCTCACCTCCTCTGCCCATCTGGCTCCTCCTCATCCTCTGCCCCTCTCCCTTCCTCCTCGTGCCCCTCGCTCTCATTCCTTTTCTCTCCTCGCTCCTCCTCTCTGCCCCCTCCCTGCTGATGGAGAGGATGCCCCCGTCCTCCCCGTGGCCGCGCGCCCCCCCCCCGCCCAGGCGGCCTTGGCGCCCGGCGCCGCGGGGGGGCGCCGGAGCCGCCGGAGCACGGAGTGCGCGGCTGGCCGCGCACGGCGGCGGAAAGCCGCGCCCGCCCGGCGTCGACGACGACGGCGTCGACCCGACGATTGCAGCGACGGCGACGACGGCGGCGTCGGCAAGACGGTTCGCCTCGGCGACTCGAAGACTCGACCGCGATCCGATCGCGTCGACCTCCTTCTCCTCCTCAGCTCCTCGCCCTCCTTCCCCCTCCTCCTCCTCCTCTTCCTCCTCTTCCTCCTCTCCTCCCCCCTCTTCCTCCTCCTCCTCCTCATCTCATCTTCATCCTCCTCTTCGTCGTCCTCCTCCTCCTCCTGTGCCTCATCCTCTATCTCCTTATTATTATCTTTCCCGCCCTCGCCTCATCCTTTGACTCCTTCTCTTCCTCCACTCTGTTCCTCATCCTCCTCCTATTGCCTCTTCCTCTCCCCCCCCCCCCCCTCCTCCGCCCCCTCCGCGCCCCTCCCTTATCCGCGAGGATCCAGTAGATGAGGAAGGAGGGCAGATGATGCGGATCAGGATAAGGAGGAGGAGGGGGAGGAGGAGGAGGAGGAGGAGGAGGAGGAGGAGGACGCGGGGGATAAGGAGGGGGGGCAATGATGAGGAGGAGGAGGAAAAGGAGGAGGGTGGCTTTGATCAGACGGAGGAGGGGGAAGAGGAGGGGCGGCTATGTTTCGTAGAAGCAGTCGAAGCAGCAGCAGTGCCATTAGTAGCAATATGAGTAGCAGATGTAGGAATAACAGCAGTAGTCGAAGTAGTGGTAGCAGCATCAGCAGTAAAGCAGTAGTCACAATTGTAGTAGTAGTAATAGTAGTAGTTGTAGTAGTAGTAGTAGTGGTAGTAGTAGTAGTAGTGGTAGTAGTAGTAGTAGTCGTAGTAGTAGGAGTAGTAGTAGTAGTAGGTCGTAGTAGCAGCAGTAGTAGTGGTAGTAGTAGTAGTAGTAGTAGTAGTAGTAGTAGTAGTAGTGGTAGTAGTAGTAGTAGTAGTGGTAGTAGTAGTAGTAGTAATAGTACTGGTAGTAGTAGTAGAAGTAGTAGTAGTAGTAGGTAGTAGTAGTAGTAGTAGTAGTAGTAGTACTAATAATGGTAGTAGTAATAGTAGTAGTAATGGTAGTAGTAGTAGTAGTAGTAGTAGTAGTAGTAGTAGTAGTAGTAGTATTATCATTAGAACCGACGATCCGTGAAGCGCGAATTGGGCGCTTCATTTCACTTTCGAGTCAACGGCGGAAGTTCTCGGAGGGCGCTGATTGCGGCGCCGGGGCGCGCGACGAAGCTGCAACGGCCGTCCGCCCC